ACCTTCCTCCCCTCCTTCTGCCCTTCCTCCTTCTCAGGACCGTTAGTCTGGATCCATTTACAGTTTCTCTTCTTCTCCAGAGACTGCCGTTGTTTACTTGTAAGAGCCCGATGAATACGAGTGCAGATTCATTATGAATGAAGAAACTTTGACCGAATCAACCAGTGATGGACTTCTTCGGTAATGTTGAACAGATGTCAAGCCAAAGAGTGTAAGCTGAAAGCATGAAAAGGAGGGCAAAGGAAAGACAAATGCTGACATCAAGTATAGTGTACCATTTCTTCTCTTATACCACTTATTCGATTGCCACGTCATAATCCGATCTTGAGCGACATACGAGATGACTTTGCATAAACTTTGAAAGGTTTTATCCGGTCTGAAGAGGAAGATCTTGGTTCATTTCGCTGAATTTGGGCGTTTCTACTTGTGACCTCTTCTTGTGAAAGGATAGGGATAGCGTTTGTATTTTATTGCTATAATTAATGCTGTGTGATAACGTGAGAGCGGAAATGTGTGATCCTGGTTGAATGTGAAGTGGATCTTGAACGAGAAGAGAATGATACTGGTTAAATGAGAGGCGCCTTTTAAATGCGGATAAGAAGAGGCCGCCAATAGTCACTTCTTACTCCGCCGTCATCGTCCTCTCCTCATTTCACCGTCATCATCCTCTCCTTACTCCGTAAGTATCATCCTCTTCCTATATTACAATCATCACCCTCTCCTCACTCCTCTATCATCACCCTCTAAGTGTTTGGAGGAGGGTATTTGGAGAATTGCGAAACGAAAAGTTCTGGCTCATCTTGCTCTCGTCTCGTTAGCGAGTCGTACAGGATGGACGCTTCTTTATAAAGTGCATTTGTTCTGTCATCCGAAGAGGGCTGCGCGCAAGACCGATGTTTCTCTTCGACTGCCAGTGATCGCTTGCAAGAGTCCCGTGAATGCGAGTGAAGAGTCATCCTCGAATGAAGAAAATTTTGCCCGACTTGATCGATCTCACTTAAACCCAAGATTTAATGATGAACTTCTTCGGCAAAGTTGAACGGATGTCACTGGGAGATGCAGTCAAAAGCGTGAAGTGGGAGCGTGGAAAAAGAGGGCAGAAGAAAGACAATTGTTGATGTCAAGTGTACCATTTCTCCTGTTGAGACTGCTCTGCTGACTCTTGATGAATTCTGTGTGGCATCTTGTGTTGAGTCTTGCACCATTTCTCCTGATGAGATTGCTACGCTGACTCTTACTGAGCTCTGTATGGCATCTAGAGCAGTCTCTTGATGAATTCTGTGTGGCATTCTGTGATGAATTCCGTGTGGTATTTTGTGTTGAGACTTGCACCACTTCCGTCTGTTGAGTCTTGCACCATTTCTTCTGTTGAGACTTGTACCGTTTCTCCTGTTGAGACTGCTCCGGAGACCCTTGACGAATCCTGTGTGGCATCTTCTGTTGAGTCTTGCACCATTTCTTCTGTTGAGACTACTCCGCTGACTCTTGACGAACTCTGTGTGGCATCTGGAGCAGTCTCTTGATGACTTCTGTGTGGCATCTTGTGTTGAGTCTTGCACCACTTCCTT